AAAAATTTTCAAAAAAGTATCAGGGGAGCATGAAAATGGAGGCGGTATTCACTGAAAATTGAAAATTCGAAATTTTTCGAAAAGTATCAGGGGGGCATGAAAATCGAGGAGGTATTCACTGAAATTGAAAAATTAAAAATTTTCTGAAAATAAAATGCAAGCAGTCGACTGGTCCCTCTGACAGCGGGACTGCTACTGAGGCAGTTACCGAGTCGGCTGACGGACAGACACCCCACCATTGGGTGCGGCCCCCACTTTCTCTTGGGGTGAGGACTACAATGCCGGTTGGGTCACTCAAACCCCCACTGAGCGGGAGTACCCCACCCCAGAGAAAGAGGGAGCCGCCCCCAATGGTGGGGTGTCTGCCCGTCAGCCGACTCGGTAACTGCCTCAGTAGCAGTCCCGCTGTCAGAGGGACCAGTCGACTGGTTGAATTTTATTTTCAGAAAATTTTTAATTTTTCAATTTCAGTGAATACCTCCTCGATTTTCATGCTCCCCTGATACTTTTCGATAAATTTCGAATTTTCAATTTTCAGTGAATACTGCCTCAATTTTCATGCTCCTCTGATACTTTTTTGAAAATTTAGAATTTTCAAATTTCAGTGAGTACCTCCTCCGTTTTCATGCTCCCCAGATACTTTTTTGAAAATTTCGAATTTTTCAATTTCAGTGAATACATCTTCGATTTTCATACCCCCCTGATACTTTTCGAAAAATTTCGAAATTTCAAATTTCAGTGAATACCTCCTCCATTTTCATGCTCCCCTGATACTTTTTTCAAAATTTTTCATTGTTCAATTTCAGTGAATACCAATTTCGTAACACATAAAATAAAATTCACCCAGTTGACTGGTCTCTCTGACAGCGGGACTGCTACTGAGGCATTTACCGAGTCGGCTGACGGGACGACACCCCCGTTGCGCCCTCCCTCTTTTGGGGTGCAGTACTACGATGCCGCTGAGGTCCCTCAAACCCCCAGAACTGAGCCTCTACTTCAGTCAATCCTCTTTGGTCATACCCATCACACGTTTCTGACGCCATCTCCCACCAAAAAAGTCCATTACGATTACTCATTCACGGTTTTCTGTCAAGACGAGACAGTTTATCAATTTCACTCCGCTAACATTAATTTAAAAACACTTAATCCACGTAAGTACCACAATTTAATCTCACCCCTCACCCCCAAATCCCGAAGAGATTAATCCCATCATCTGAATTTCTCCACAATATGCGTTATTTATATCCATGATCCAAACGTCAAACAAAAAAAAAACCCTAAAACTGTCGCATCCATAATCAATAAAAAACCCCCAATTATCAATTTACAATACCATTGTTTAATTGTTTATTAAGTGTTGCTAGAATAATGGAGTTTCCCTGGCATGTCAGGGGATTCACTTGTTGCATCGGATTTTGAGGTTATGGGCGTGATCAGATGCTTCGAGTACTTGAAATGTCTATTTATTTATGTATTTTGTTTATCTCGGTTTATATTATATTATTGATTTATTCGTTTGGTTGAAAAAATTTAATTGTTTGGTGTTGTTGAATGTCTGGGCGATGATGGTTGATTTTTAAAATGATTGATTTTTTAATCCAGGATGGACGGTGGAGGATACTCAGGTGATGGTGACCTTGGGGGTCCAAGGACACCCCAGCAGGCGGTTTCGACGAAGAAACTCCAGCAGACGCAGGCCAAAGTCGATGAAGTCGTGGGGATTATGAAGGTGAATGTTGAGAAAGTCCTGGAAAGAGATCAGAAGCTATCGGAATTGGACAATCGAGCTGATGCCCTTCAGCAAGGGGCTGCACAATTTGAACAGCAAGCTGGTAAATTGAAGAGAAAGTACTGGTGGAAGAATCTCAAAATGATGATCATCATTGGAATTATATGCGTCATCATCCTCATCATAATTATCGGTAAGTGATAAACTATTGGTGTGTCCCAGAAACACGTGACCTATCTCAATTCAGCTAGAAATCTAGGAATATCTCTCAAACGAACAGCGCTAGCGAAATTTTTGTGAAATCCTTTTTTGTAGTTCTTACTTCACTCCGTGAAAAAGGTCCTGACAAAAATTTCCATATCTCTTCTGGATTCCGAGATATTACGCGGCAACTCGAGTAGAGAAGGAGTTGTGTTGACTCTTTTACTCTTCGCTGTTTTGCGTTGAATTATATTCATCAGCCCGGAATTTCCGATTGTTTCTCTTGTTTCAGTGTCAATAGTACCGAGCGGGAGTGATTCAGACAGCCAGTAATCCCCTGAGGCTAAACGAATCATCCAGAACTTGGAAATCCATCCTTAAAAGTTACGATGAAGTTAAAAGAGTGAAAAGCACATATTTTTTACACTTCACACGGTGCCTTGTCTTCCAGGTATCATCGCAAATCAATCAAACCATCAATAATAATAACCACAAATGTAATTGTAGAATTACGAGAAGTAGGTTGCACTATTCGAGTCACGGAGTGGTAAAAAAATGTCATTTATCACAAGATTCGAGCAATTTTTCCAGTAAAAAAAATATCTCGAAAGTTTTCCCAACATCGAGATAATTTCCCAAGGGTTTTATCGCAACTGTGTTTTACCACTTCTCCCCCAGTTTAATGAAAAATAAATAAATAAAGAGGAATATCGGGTTGCGAGGGTCCAAAGCACTAACAAACTCCTCAACAATTATCGATAAGTATGTGAAATTAATTCGTGTATATTTAATATTATTTAATACAATCTTTATATTCGTGGGAAAAGTATCTGTCATTCATTTCCTTTCGTCACTCGCACAGAATATATAAAATATATCTAAATATTAATTTTTTTATCATCTAGTGCAGCTCATTGAAGACAAAAAATATATCATTGGGTCCTTATCAGTCAGAGTCTGACTAAAGTCTCTCTGCCCCTTCCACATGAAAAAAAATGAAAATCATTTCCTCAATATCGTCACACCATCGACAGGAGGGGGTAATGTGGAAGGTAAATATCATAGTAGAGAGTGATCTCAGTATCATGGCAATTTTCGATATTCTTGTAAACGACTCAAGCAAATCACAGTCTGTTTATTCATTCACCTATCAGTCGACTCACGACCGTCTCGTCGTACAGACGTTGCGCGTCTTGACGCCCTCGCGTCATCAATACATCAATTGTCAATTAATACTTAATGGATAGACGACATTGACACTAGGTCCTCATAAAAAACCACTCGACAAGCGATAGTACACATTTTTTATTCATTAAGAAAACAAATTAAAAGAAAAAAAACAAACATAAATCAATCGATCGTTAATCCTCAAGTTTTCATCTACAACTCATCGAGGAAGTGGAATTCTATTTGACGGCCACATGTGCCAATCGATATTTTAATAATGTGAAGACTATGAAATTTTATTTACGACTTTGTACGAGTTTATTCATGTAACCAGACGTTTTTGAGGAATTCTCTTGGGTATTTGTCGATGAGAGAAATTGATATGTGCAGTACATGTGACGTAAATGATCGAAAAAAAAATTTTTCAAGGAGCGGATAAGACGTCTGAACGATAAGACGTATTCCAGTTTTGTATACGTTTTTGAAGAGTAAATTGGAGACTTTAAATTTTCCTTGACAACGCGCATCTCGTGAACATTCCAGAATGCAGAACTGTGATAATTTGATTTGAGCAGACAAGGGAATTTTCAAAAGTGAGAATATGGCATCTGTCGAGGGGAAGGACAGGCACGAGCATGGCCTGGGTTATCAGAACACTTTGGTGAGTTTTTTTTTATTTAATCACTGGAATTATTTCTATTGCTGATTTCGCAGGGGAACTATTACTTGGGAGTCCAATTATTATTGCCATTCATTCATAATTTGATTACAAATCAGGATTTTTCATGAAATAATCAGAATATTTATATTTAATTCATAAATAAAACGGGATAAATACCGATAATTCCCCCTCGATGTTCCTCAATAAAATTCGAGTGCAGGAGAATTAGAAAGTATTGGATAGGGGAATTTACGGTGAAGAAAAGCGGTGGAGCGATGGGAATAAACAATCAAATGTGGCAGGTGTTGAACGAATGAATAATCAAAGTCATATGATGGAATAAACTCTTATCACTACTTAAAGGCCATCGAGTCAACGCTGTTTAATAAATCGAGACGTGATTATCGCGTTTGTGTGGGTTAAGACTCGACTCGTCGATCAAAGAAATCATATGCGTGCCCATTTGAGCTGATGACGTCAAGTTTGTTATCATTTATTAGCAGACCCATCCAATTGACACTTAGGGTCTGCTGCCAGGTAGACATTCGAAAAAAGTGGAATGGTCATGTGGTGATTTATCTAGCATTTCGGGAGCACGTGACTCGGAATATCACATGGTGATGTGCCTCAGGTAGACGTTAATTTTCGAGGACACTTTGGTCATTCTATTTTTTCTTTCAAATACTCAGATAATTGTTCTTCATTCGTTGTCTTCCTTACGTCGATGGTACTAGGCAGGATGATTTTTTAAATTTTAAATACGCAAGCAGAAAATTTAGATATGTATAAGATTGTATTTTAACATCTGTTCTTTGGAAATAAATAATTGCAGTTGATTCTGAAAAAAAAACACCTCTGGGTTAAAACTAAGTGATATGTTACGATTTGAAAACAGTATTTTAGAGAAGAGAGGGAATTGCTGAGAAATCATTCATAGGCATTTATAAAGTCGTGGTCTTGAAGAATTTGCAATTGCATTTTTTAATTTTTCATGAGTTTCAGTGGAAGTGAAATTTCGAATTTTTTCATAATTCCTTTGAGCGGTAGTGGTAATTAGGAGTAAATAATTCACGTTTATATATAAATTCTAATGATGAATAAAAACGGAATTATTTAAATTCGACAATTTGTGGAAAAGTGAAAAATGGATTTTCCGTAGAAATCTCTTGTGGTGTGATTCTATTTTTGGAAGACTCGGACCTATTCCCCCTCAGTTCGAATTTACCGCTCTGAAGTATTACATTATTCCACGTGAAACCCACATTTGGGAGCATTCACTTGAGAAACCTTCAAAGTCTGTTACATAATCTTAAAATCAGGTGTATCACATGATACATCAAACGACAGTTGAATAATTCGAGAGGAATTAATAATGATCCCACCACAAAGCTGTCAGAATTGTCAGTGGCAATTAAGTACCCCTGACTGAACGATAAATAGAAAATACAGTGTGATGTTATTCAGTCAGTTGTTGACCACTGGAGACAGAATATCTAACGTCACATAACAAAGTTGAAGAGATTATTGATAGTGTCTTCATGTCTCGTCACGTTATTTCTCTATCGATGGGAAATCGAGGATTTCCACTAGGTGATTATTTTGGGAGGAGAATGCGAAGTGCTGGGGTCAGTGGTCTCTTAATAAGCAAGGATGAGGTCATTAGATTTGTTGGTGAATGCATGCAGAAAGTGGGGACTGATGGTAATTATTCGAATATCGTTGCGCACCATCTCATGACTGCTGATTATCGGGGACATTTCAGTCATGGCATGAACCGAATGCCAATGTATGTGAGAGATATCGAAAGCAAACGAACTGATCCACATGGGGTACCCAAGATCATCAATGATTTTCAGGTTTTTATTGGATTTTTTTCATTATCTCCAGTACTTTGTACTTGGGCGTTACAAAAATCATTTCTTGACTCACAGAACTCCGGATTTTTCCAATTTTCCAGATGATAGTATGAAAATGTCAGAGGTGTTTGAAATAACAAGACAATAATAGTATAATTATAAACAATTTGTTTTATCCGCCGATTTTGTTATAAAATCACTGAAATTGTTAAAAGAATTAATCAGATTATAACAGTTCCCAAAGAGGAATGGATTTTAAAGTAATTTCAATTTCATAAGTTTAAACAATTACATCTTTACGAAATATTCCTTGACCAAATGAGATTTGAATATTATTTATAAATAAAATGATAAAAAATGTGTAAAGTACCGGGGAACGCAGAATTTCCTCAAGAGATGATTTTTGTCCCACGGGGAAAAGCTTACGAGAAGAAAAAAAGAGTTCATCACTTAAATACCCAAGTGTTCTAACCCACAGGCAACTGCCCTGGTGGACGGTAAAAACGGTCTAGGCCAGGTGATCGGTAAATTCAGTATGGAATTGGCGATAAAAAAAGCTGAGACCTTCGGTATCGGGATGGTATCAGCTCGAGGATCAAACCACTACGGCATCTGCGGATACTACAGCCTGATGGCAGCTGAGAAGGGCCTGATCGGGTTCACCTGCACGAATGCCAGTCCCTTGATGGTGCCAACTCGTTCAACAACTCCATCCCTGGGTACAAATCCCCTGTCTCTCGCCATGAGGACAGACAAATCCGATGAATTTGTCCTGGACATGGCGACGACAGCTGTAGCCCTTGGGAAGATTGAACTGGCGATCACGAAGGGTCAGGACATCCCCGAGGGCTGGGCCATCGGTGCCAACGGGAAAACAACGAAAAACGCCAAGGAAGCTTATGACACTATGAAGCTGATGCCTTTGGGAGGGGCTGAGGAGAATTCTGGGTACAAGGGGTATGGGTTGGCAACCCTGGTGGAGGTCCTCTGTGGCGTCCTCTCTGGCAGCCATTTTGGTAAGAACATTCGAAAATGGAAGGCCGACGATCGAATCGCACACCTTGGCCACTGCTTTATGGCTATCAATCCCACGGTTTTTGCACCTGGTGCTGGGGAAAGGCTGGGCCAACTCCTGGGAGAACTTCGGGGACTCCCAACTCCTGGAGATGGAAAAGTACTTGTTGCTGGAGATCCTGAAAGGATCGCCATGCAGACCGTTGACTCTCAGGGCGGCATTCGCTATCACCAGAATCAAATTAAAATCTGCGATGACGTAGCGCAAAAACTGGGGGTTCCCCCGTTGAAACCTGTTGCTTAATTCATTGTTTTTTTTTTCTTTTTGTTCATTTGGCACTGATGATTCGTGGTCTTGCGATAGAAATTTGTGGGAATCACAAGTGATTTATTTCGGCTTATTGTTTATTAACATATTGATTTAAAATTTGGATAAAAAAAATCCACGCGCGAAAAAATTCAGTCTTTTGAATTGGAAAAGAATGATAATGAAAAATTATAATTACACTGAATTCAAGATTCAAGATACTCACTCATTTTTTATGGATTTATTCGTAGATTTGTAATTTAATAAGTCTCAAGAGTATTTTTGTACCAGTGCATTTGAAATATTTGAGTCTGAATTTCGAGTTTGTTCAAATTGTTATAATAAAATAGGTGAATATCCAGACTCGCCTTGTTTTTGAAACTAGCAGATCCCTAATTCCTTGTGTGCAGAAGCTGAGAGCTTGACATTGAGCTATCGATGTTGGCATGTAATTCGATGATCCTGTGTTCAATGATTGAGTTAGTTTTCACGTAATATCAAAACCCTGTGGTTTTGCCTCGCATGATCGTCTTGATACTCTGACCTTCGTCTCCCGTTTTCAAGTGGAAGTTTGGATTACGTGTAATGCAATGATCAAGGCAATAATTTCATCCGGAATTTCATGTCACGATACCAGACGTTGAGGAAATTAAAATAAGTTTCAGTTTATTTTATTCCCTCGATGAATCTCTTGGAATCGATTCAGCGAAATCATTATCGAAGTGGTAAACTACAAAATAGTTTTTTTTTTTCGGTGCCAGTTTTTAGCGAATATCTCTTTTTTATTAATAAATACACTCGAGACCTTTTTTATTCCTTAAATTTATTGTTTAATGTGACAAATCTTTTCTTTCTTTTACGTCATCGCTAGTATTACACCGCCCATCTTAATTTGTCATTATCGTAATAGTAAGTATATAATTTATCATTTATAATTTTATACTTTTAAACATATGAAAAAGAAAGTATGAAAGGAGTAGAGAATTTATAACTCAGTGTGATGTTATCAATTTCTATGTGGCATAGATTTATGTGCGAATTAAATTCTTATTCAGCATTTGATAAGTCCAAATTCGTAAAAGAATTTGCTAAATTCGTCCAAAAAGTACGATCGATTCTTCACCTAGATCCCTCAGGAATTTGTAACTAGAGTAGGGAAAAAGATCTGGTTAATTTAAAGTTTGTTATCCATACTTTGTCTAGCCCGACAATGGAGCCAATATCTCAGAATCGACGAAACCTAGCGAATTTTCAGCATAAACATTTTTTAAAGAAAAAGATGAGGCCTACAAAAAAGGTCTTTATGAAAATATCACTATCTTCCTTCAGTTTCGAGAAATCGGGCAAAGACTGGCCTCGAAAAATATGTGGAACAAGTGGCAATAATATCACTCGTAAATAACGCAAATAATAAATCGTGGGTGAACAACATGATGAAGAGAACAGAAAAGAAAATACAGAGTCAATAAAATTATCATTTCAAAAAGGCATACACATAGAAAACAAGCGAAAATAGTACAAGTCAGTACAAAATAGGACAACACTGGGGAAAACACTCAGGATATCAAATATTTTGAGAATATTGATTTGGGAGATATTTTATAGTTTCAATCAATTTATCAAGGAAATCACAAGAAATAAACTACGGAAAAATAAACTCATGTTAATTTTCGCATGGTTTATTATTTTGGGTGGGGTTTAGAACGTTTTAGATGGGTGTGCTATTTTTTCCTGGTCTATTTCTTCTGCCTACCTCGTCAAGGGACTGCATGAAATCAGTTTTTAATAATTCTTCAGTGACAAACCATTGGATTCCTCGAATATTCTGGTAATTCTTAATTTTCAAAGACCGGAAACATCTGGAAAATCCTAGGAATGATCCTAGTTCGTTTGCAATTGAATTCTCTATTTTTCAACTCCACGACTTTTTCTCGTAATTTTTATTGGATTTTTATCAACGTTTAATTGTGTGTCGAAATATCTTGCCTCATGAGTATTGATCAGACTTATAAAATTGTAAACAAGGGTGATAGGGAGGTGGATGACTTTGGGAGTCTCTTTGGCTCTTGGCCTCAGCCTCTCCAAGGGTTATCGCTCTAAGAACTTCGAACTTCGCTGTTCATTTCCAAAGAAATGAAAAAGTTTTCCCTTCCACCAACAGAGACACCCTGACGAGAGATTAATTTCTAGAAATTCCACTCGAGAAATGTTTTACGCAGTCAGCAAAAGATTCTATTTTCCATTCCTCATGTTTATATTATTCATTAATTATTTATCAATCTCCAGGAGTAACAGGATTTAGCTAATTCCCAGAAACGGTTTTCTATTAAAGGAAAATCGGAATAATTTTTTGGCAGATGGGAGTAATTTTTTGGCAGATCGGTATAATGAGATTAATTACGAGTTTACGAATGTAAATTATTATTTATATTAGTGGTGAATTATAATTTGCAACTAGAATGCAGGGATTAATGACAAAAATCCAATAGATTTTCTCTCTCAAAGGTGATCCTTTTGTTTGTACCTCAATTACGTAGAGAATTCCTCTCAAATTTGCCGACAACATACGCCGGTACCTTTCAGCTTCTGTACCAACAAATATTTGGCGAAAAAGATTTATACGAGAATTTCAAGGTTCAATTGCACCACCAGATAACAAAATCAGGAAATATCTTAGTCGTAATCTGGACCCTCTGAGTACAAGAACTTAAAGTAAAAATGCCCTGTTGGTTTTTTCAACGTCGAAATGAGGTAAGTGAAGTCCTCAGTACAGCCATGGAATATTTTTTTTTACGTTTCAAGACGTGGGATATAATAAAGAGGTCATTCTGACCAATATGATAACTCGTGACTTTGAAGTGAGGGTCTCTCCCCGTTAGCAACTCTACGACGTTCTGAAGGGAAGTAGCCCATTACTTAACAACTTTTAGTACAGTCTGACTCATAGATTTTGTACCTACATGAAAAAAAAAACGTTCTTACCTTCGACTTGATATTTCATTTTGCAGTAACAAGTCCTACAGTCATTTTTTCAGCTTAAATACAGAATGTTCATAGATTTTAGAAAATATCTCGGGATATCTGTGAGACAGCGCATTTTTCATTTCAAACTTTTTGCGGCTATCTGTTTTGTCCACAAAAAAGGTCCAACAACAAATTCGCTGTTTCCTGTAGGTTTGGAGATATTTATGATAATGTTAGTCTTCGATTTTTGAGTTTGTATTCTTAGTGAGTGGAGCGGGATGAGTGTTTTCGAGATATATCTCGGGATCTTATTGGGATCGAAAAATTGTTATTGGACACTTTTTGTAGTCCTCTTTTTTTTCTACAAAAAGTGATTCAACAAAAAATTTTGTATCCCCCTTAGGTTCAGAGATATTTCTAAAAAACTTTCATAAAAAACCGTTGATGTTGATCAAATGGAGTATAAATAGTGTTTTTACAATAAATCTCGTGATCTAATCGAGTTATCAAAATGACCATTAGGATCTTTTTTATAGTTCTCATTATTTTCTACAAAAATGGACTTAACAAAAAATGAATTATCTGGCCTAGGTCCAGAGATAATCACCGAAAACAAAATTGATTTGAATTTTCATGCTAAATTTATGAATGAAATATTGGATAAATTGATTACCGTGTTGTGAATAATAGTGAGAGTTTAACAGGTTGTTGTGATGAATGAGTATTTCCTGATTGGAAATATTTGAAGAGCTCGAGAGATCTGATAACACTAGGTGAAATGATAGTTGACGATTTGCGTGTATTAAAACGAAAATTATGGTATTGTCAGTCGTGGCTCACCCACTGCGATAGTGAGTTGAGTTTATAAATTGAGAGTGAAGGAGTACAGCCTCAGTAATACAGTGACTCACATGAGAGATCACCATTGAACGATGGAGATTCATTCGGCCCTCGGAGTATTCCCGAAAATTCAGTGAATGTGAACCATGAGGAAATATTGAAATTCAAGAAAAAAAAATTGGATTTCTCAAATGGCTAGCGAAAAAAGTGGAAAAACCATGGAGTTCCATCATGCGTATCGGCATCATCATCCTGAAGGTAGTGAGGAAGATGTCGATAAGGAATGGGAGGACTTCACCAGGCTTATGGCTAAACTCAAGGATAAAGGTGTTAATAGACCCCACAGGTATAATTTATAATTATAATCCCCACATCACGAGATTGCACTCGAATATTTTGTACTTCCGGTTAGATTCTTCACTATTTTCGATTGGTATTTCGTTGGAAGTGGAAAATTCAGTGGAAATGTTATGAAACTGGATATTTTTGATAATTACGTCCTAAGAATTAATGAAATGATGAAAATTTAGAAATTTATTACTGAATAGTGATAATTTTCTTCGGGAATCCTGCGATTTTTTTGTCTTATCCTCAAAAAATTTGAGTTCGTCTGAATTTTCAAGGCAATCACGAATTTTAGTTTTGTTTCTATTTAAATAAAATTTAATGACAGTCATCCGGAAATAAACACTCAGTTTTTCGGAGAGAGAAACAGTCTCTTGAAGTTGAAAATAAAAATCGAGATTAATAAAAATTAAGTTTTTTATAATTTGGAAATGTGTCTTCATCCACAGGATCTTTCTGAAATGAAGAATAAATATTTTCGAATCATGAATACATTTTGAGAAATAATAAAAATGACTTCTTCAATCCGAATTGTTTTTTTTTGGAGTAGCTCTTCCTCTTGTGTCTCACCCTGAAATTAGCGCGAAGTTTTGTGTGAAAATCTCGAAAGCGAAGAGAGATATGAAAAAATTTGTAGAACCTTTTTTGTAGGTCTTGACTTGGTATACAAAAAAGGTTATATCAAAAATTCCGCTATTGCCTTCGGATCTCGAGATATTCACAGAAACGTAGAGCCCTTCGTTTTTCGATTCCGAGTAATTTGAGTAATTATTAATGTATGATGTAATAAATAATTGTACCAGACCCTCTCAAGCATTCTACCCTTGTCCACCACCTCGAGATGACGAGCCACCGGAATTCGATCCCTTCGACTACATCAACACAATCGTAAGGAAATAAAATAATCAAAACATCGAGAAAATTTATTTCAATCTCTGCATGATGACAAAAATTATCAACGAGCTTTGCATCCCACAGCTTTTAGAAATTGTGATAATTATTTAATGAAGAAGCCTCAGGAATACTCCATACTATCTAATGAAATCAACATATTATTTAAAAAATTATTCAACAAATTATTTTAAAAAATTATTTACGACATTGAATTCCGTTGCGAACTCGTAAACTTGAATCGCATTTTTTTCGCTGTCAGTGTTTCCCCGATTTCTCGAAATGGAAGAGAGATATCGATATTTTCATAGATACCTTTTTTATAGCTCTTATATTTTTCTATCAAAAATATTCATACAAAAAATTCGCTATGTTCCTTCAATTCCGAGATATCGGCTGAAAACTGGCCTCGAAAAAAATGCACTCATCCTAATTCACTTCTTGACTGAATTCATGATGCTCTTTTCATATCTCCACCGTTGCAAATGCAATAGCATTTAATCATTCACGTAGAAATCGGAAAAGCGTGGAGTCCATTGTTTTCATCGTTTTTTCACTGGAAACCTTGGTGGAAACACCGGATACCAGAGAACATCGGGCCGACCTTGCGCCGATGCATCACTGCACCAATTGTCACGCATCCAACGAAAAGATAAAAAAAAATTAAAAATCATGACTTCAATTTCTTTTTTGTTGCAAACTCTTCCCACCGTCACGAGTCTTCCTGAAACAAAAAGTATTACTCGAGGAGAATTCATTCATTCTGCACAATAGTTCACTATTACCCGGTAATAGTTCCGTAATTTCAATTTTTCCTGTCGATTTACACAATAAGAGCGGACTGAAGAATGGTTATTGCCACTCGAGTAATTGCAGGTATTTGTTATCATTCGGCCAATCTGTTGTGAATTTTAATGAGTTTCAGTGTCTGAAATTTCGCAAAGTGCTTAATTGCATATTTAACGAGATAAGCAAGGGTAATGCGAATCACGTGAAGTGTAATGGAACAGAGGAGTGAAATCCTGATAAGAAATAGCTCCAGGAAAAATCTCTCGTTTTTCTATCAGTACAATTACAATACATTGATAATAAGCATTATGTTAATTAATTGATTGATCTTTACTATTCGATTTTTGTTGAGAAATTAATGTGAGAACTCCGCGAAATTGCCTTAACAATAATAATTTCTCTGATTAAAAATTTTCATGTAACGATTAATTGGGATTAATTGGATTGTTTGTGATATGTGCATGAGTTTAGATAATTATTAATTAAAAATTTTCTCGGAGGGGATAATTATTTAAACTTGAATTTGAAGTGATTTTCTAGGGATTGCGATCTAGAAAAATGTCTGTCGTTTTTTTATAATTAATTATACGGTATTGATGATTATAATTACGTTTTTAAAGTGCTAATTGCATTAATTTATTTATTGTACTTCCGCGTTGATTTTTTTTATTCCCATGTGGTAAATTTTCGATTCTTCTCCATTAGAGAAATCGTCCAAAGAACAATTATTTCTCAGAATGCAATTTTTGCTTTCGTTTTCTCCTCTACAACTATCTAATTAATTGTAATAATTAATTAGAATCAATTTTCAGTGATTATATAAATGAATTGAGATAATTATTGTCGAGAGATTTTATCGGAGAGGAGAATAATTCAACTCGAAATGTCAAGACTAATTTTCTGATAGTAGATATAAATTGATGATTGATTATTCAATTCATTAATTAATGATTAATTAGTATTAAACGTTCAGGAGAATTCATAATCCGCATAATTCCATCGGATGGAAGATTTATTGATCTTCAAATGTCAAGAGTTATTATCTGATAGTAGATATAAATCGATGATTGATTATTCAATTAATTAATTAATGATTAATTAATATTAAACGTTCAGGTGAATTAATAGTTTGCACAATTCCATCGGATGGAAGATTAATTGATCTTCAAACGTCAAGCGTAATTATCTGATCGTACATATAAATAGATGATCAATTAATTAATTAGTTAATTAATTATTAATTAGTATCAAGTCTTCAGGTGAATTGACGATTTGCATGATTTCACTGGAGAGAATAATTATTGAACTTGAAATGTTGAGAGTAATTTTCAGATCGTTGTTAAAAATCGACGATTAATTAATCAATTAATTAGTTAATTGGTGATTAATTATTATTAAACATTCAAGTGAATTTACGGTATGTCCGAATGACTAATTTTGGAGTAAGCAACGTGTGCCCAGTAGGACGTGGTCGACGTTGACGTCAAGACTGTGGCAATGACCATTTGATGAATTTAGATACTGCGACTGCAAATAAATCCCATCAATTATAATTATAAAAAAACCAACGGATCTAATAACGATCAATCCATTGGTTCAATTCCAACTAAAACATCAACATCTCTCCCCAAAATCTAAATACTCTAGACATCCACTCCTCTCTTCTGATAAAAATCACCAGATCAATTGATCTCATAATTAATCAATGATTGGAAAATTCATCGCAGCAGATGTTCTCTCAGGATTGAAATGAATTGCGGAAAAACTATAATTTTTTTGTAGATATGAAGACAATGCTGGTTTTGTGGATCGATATTTCGAGATCCAGGGATCGATCACAATTTATTGATGATTTATGATCGATGAGAGCGTCGTAACGGTTGCTGTGGCGTTGCGATTAAATTAAAATCAACGATTGCAGTCAAAATACTCTAGCTAGACACGAGGAAGTTTTCCTAGATAACAACTGCAACTGGTGCCAAAAATCTAGAGGTGTCATCGTTTGCCAGTCAATCGGTGGCTGTCGTTGCGAGCAGATCTGAGGCTGAACAATTTATTCTGTGAAACTGAAACAAATAGAATATTATTTTAATTAATTGAACATGAAGGATTGCAATCAGATGTATTCCAATGAATAAAGTGCGGGAGGTGTAATTAAAAATGAAGAAATTAAAGGATTGACGATTTCAATGTCCACCGTATGTCGCGAGATGATAATAATAATTGTGATGAATACAATAGTGTCGCGTACAATAGTGAATCGACGAATGAATGCAGCTAGATCTAATAATAACTCTCGGGTCTAGCCAGATTTTGGGAAAATTTTTGGGGGCCAGGTCTGCCACGGAAATTCGGAGACTCATTATTTTATGATAATCGATGTGTATGATGATATCATCATATTTTAGAATAATGAATCTTTCGGTTTGTTGATCAGACTTGGTGCTTAAGGGGCATCTATGCCGGCAACTGTACTTAACAGGGCGTACTTCGTATGTAACGATGATTATCCTGTAAGTGAACCTGAGAACCGCCTGTGCAGATCCATTTTTTTTGTGTTTAGTTTTAAGGATTTCCGGAAAATCCAGTGGAAATGTCTTTCGGGGGTCCAAGCTTCAATAATTATTGCTAGTTCTTCAGGCACTGAGAAAAGTTTATTGATGTTCAAGAATTATTCGTTAAACAATTTTTAATATATTTTGAAAAATCGACGAAAATGGATTTACATCAATTTTTTTTTTTTGTGGAATCTATGAAATATTTTTCCAGTTTTCTATTTTCTCGGGGGTTTTTAATAAAAAATGGAATAGAGAATATTTGGGAATTTTTTGTAAAATTCGCTGAAGAATAATAATTGGTAAAAGAATTTCTTCGGCTGTAATTTTCTGTTTTTCGAGATTTTCTTGTTGAAAAAAAAAGATAGAATGAGGAACGCTTGGGAAATTTTGTAGGAAATATCTTGAAGAATAAATTCTACAGTAAAATCGCATTCTATTTATACTAGTTTCACAGTATAAATACTTTCAACAAAAGATTTCAATAGAATTATTTCAAAAACTCATAAAATTTCAATAGAATTCTCATAAACAATAAAAAAAAATGATTTATTCAAACAGAAAATTTTCTAGATTCAAGAAAAAACTTTTTTCCTCAATTATTCACTCGGATGAATTCTCCCCCGAATGCTGAGTAAACCAATAATTTATCCCATAATATTTATCTCAATTGGATTTAAATTATCAACTTTGAAATAAACAATGACAATTTCGAATGCTAATTGTTTGACTGAATAATTAACACAGCCCATGCATGCTGCGATTTAATGCAATAATCCTTAATAATCGATAGTTCTTCTGCCAAATCAGCACGAATTGAATGAATCAATGGATTGATTACCGAACGGAACAAATTTCTTGTGTGAATTTTTGCAGATGTATGGTCGTTACACCAAGGACTTGGGTGAATTCGCGAAGGAAGAGGCACGTAGATTGAAATCCAGTGAGAAAACCAGAAGAAAATTGGACAAAGTCCGAGCAGAGGAGCTGAGGAAATCCCGGAGGGGTCCATTATGTAGAAAAATAGTAGCTCTCATTGCTTTTGCATGGAAACACACGGGAGCAAGACTAGGAGAGGATTGGGTTTTTCTGGCGTTATTGGGAGTCATCATGGCATTCATCAGTTATGCCATGGATCGAGGAATCTCACTTTGCAACAATGGTATTTATTTTTTTAATCAACTAGAGATGAACGCGCGCTACGCTCGCGTATTTTTACTTTTGTGGTGTTACTACATGAGTTTCTATTTCGTTTTTCAAAGAATCGGAATTCAATTTTTGTTTTATAAAATAAATATATATAAATATTAATAATAATAATAATATATATATTTATATTATTATTATTATTATTGTTTATTTCATTGATGTTACAAATGTTCTTTTTTTTTTTAACATGGTTTTTTATTTGGTATTACATCGATATTTACATCTTATGTCATAAAAAAAACTAGTCTTAAAAAAAATTTGCAGATATATACAGGGTTAGCTTAATTTAATAATGGCCTTTTTTCGACACTCGCATTAATACAATATTTAACAGAATCTGTATGTAAACATATTTTTTAGCATTATTTTACAGTTGTTATAGATGCATTTCAGCGAAACATTATTGTTGTAAGCGGGCCCAAAAAAAAAATAACAGAATTACAGGAGTTTATTGTAAAAAAAAGGGCGGTTACAAATGTTCTCCTTTGTTTTACATCGGTATACTCCCCTTTCCTCTTTCTTTTAGTTAATATATATATTTATATATACATATATATCGAATAAACCGGCAATAAACGTTACATTGGATTTTTTTTTACGGATTTCTTTGAGGATCCTGTCCTATATAAAGTGTCCTATGTAAGAGGGAAACTAAAATTTATCGAATGGACTCGAAACTCTCGAGAGTTAAAGCCTAAAATGAGTTAAAGTCATTCACTGGTCACATTATTTATCATTAATTATTTGTTTTCAGCACGAATTTGGTTGTACCAGGACCTGACCTCGCACCCAGCCCTGCAGTACCTGGCGTGGGTGTCCTTGCCAGTATGCCTGATCCTCTTCAGCGCAGGTTTCGTCCACATCGTAGCCCCCCAGAGTATCGGTTCAGGTATTCCCGAGATGAAGACAATTCTCCGTGGTGTTGCCCTGAAAGAGTACCTGACCTTTCGCACTCTCGTCGCCAAAGTGATAGGTCTGACAGCGACTCTGGGGTCAGGTCTACCCTTGGGAAAAGAGGGTCCGTTTGTCCACATCGCCAGTATCGTGGCAACACTCCTCTCAAAATTAGTCACTTCCTTCCAGGGCATCTACGAGAACGAATCGAGAAACTGCGAGATGCTTGCAGCAGCCTGTGCTGTTGGTGTTGCTTCTTGCTTTGGTGCACCCATCGGTGGTGTTCTCTTCAGCATTGAAGTAACAACTGTTTATTTCGCTGTGAGAAATTACTGGAGGGGTTTCTTCGCTGCTGTCTGCGGTGCAACGATGTTTCGATTGCTGGCCATTTGGTTCCAGAGGGAGGAGACAATCACTGCAATGTTCGCTACCAATTTTACGATGGATTTTCCCTTCGATCCCCAGGAACTCTTCGTCTTTGCACTAATCGGTGTGGCCAGTGGTCTAGGAGGTGCTTTCTACGTCTGGCTCCATCGACAGTACGTCATCTTCATGAGAAAGAACAAGAGCATGAATTCATTTCTCCAGAAGAACAGATTTCTTTATCCTGGTATAGTCTCTCTACTGGTATCATCCGTATCCTTTCCCATGGGACTTGGACAGTTCATGGCTGGTGAACTCAATACTCATTATCAGGTTCAAGGACTCTTCACTAATTTTACATGGAGCAAACAGCATCTCAATGTCGAGGAGATGAGCATCGTCAGGCACTGGACAACACCCTATTCCGATGTTTTTTTGGGACTCTTTGGATATGTACTTTTCACTTTTGTGTTCTCGATTATCAGCTCGACGGTACCGGTGCCATCGGGAATTTTCATTCCGGTTTTTAAGATTGGAGCAGCTCTGGGGAGAATCGTCGGCGAGGCCATGGCACTCTGGTTCCCCAATGGTGTCAGGTATGGGGGACTTAACACACCCATTACACCAGGTAATTCGGAAATATTGCGGACATTTTCAATAGACCTCGGAAATAAAGTCATCGGTACTCACATATTGTTATTTACCCACATGGCAAAGTACATGATCCAAAAATTTTAGCTGAGTTATAGTTCTCTTTGCCGGAATTATATCTTGAATAAATTGAACTTATATTTTTACGATATCTTCAATGTATGCGACGTATATCTGGATATAATTGATATATATTTCTGAATATATATTAAAAAAAAGGAAATGTAAATGTAAATAAAAAAATATATATATATTTTTTCGTTTGGGTAGAACTCTTTATATCGAAGGAAAATCCTGCTCTTTTCCGAGCTCTACCAAAGATTGATCAAATATCTGATATGATTTGATTCATCGATCAATAGATTTTATAATTGATGACTTATAATATTATTAAATGTTTATAATTAAAATTAAATATTTTATAATTGATAATTTATAATATTGACTAAGTGGTTTCCTTTTTCAAACAAAATGTGAATAGATAAAATATCAGAGTCAAAAGTCGCTAGAGAAACTTTTCAGGATCAAGAATGTAGCTTTACCGATTCTTTAAATGATTTAATTGAAAATTTGAATATAGACTTGTATTTTAACTTCTATTTTGTGATTGTTCAAAGGTGGATATGCAACAGTGGGTGCAGCAGCCTTTTCCGGTGGTGTGACACACACGATATCCGTTAGTGTTATAGTTTTCGAAATGACTGGACAAATAACTCATATCGTTCCGATTATGATAGCTGTCCTGATAAGCAATGCAATAGCAGCATTACTACAGCCAAGTATCTACGATAGTATTATTCTCATTAAAAAGCTGCCATACCTTCCGGATTTGCTGCCCTCAAGCTCTGGTAGGTTGTCAATTCCTAATTAAATCTAATTGCTCATTATCTTTCACCAATATACTCACCGAATATCTCTTCATGGATGCATTCAATGTTGGATCAAACTCGGTGAGAATAACAATTATTCATTTATTCCGTTCATTCTTCATTTTTTGTACTGCATTTTTATTTAATTAATTCTCTGACATTGTGGAATTTGTTTGTTATAATAGGAATGTACAATATTTACGTGGAGGACTTCATGGTTCGTGATGTCAAGTACATCTGGCATGGAATAAGTTATCAAACCCTGAAGGAAACTCTCAAATCGAATCGCAAATTGCGGGGATTCCCCTTAGTCGACAATCCTGCATCCATGATTCTTTTGGGATCCATTCAACGGCTCGAGTTGATTAAATTAATTGAGAAACAGATAGGACGAGAGCGAAGACTTCAAGTGAGTGTTAAGTACACGGAAACTAATTTATGTACAATAAAATATGGATTTATTATTTTATTTGATTAATTCCACTTGGTGTGTGGTTTTTATTATAATCTGCGCATGCTTACCAATTCGTCTCATTAAAATTGATGCTTTTACACACTAATCAATAATTATAGATAATAATCAATAATGATATTGTAAAAAGTATTCAGAGATGTTCTGAGATATTTCATTTTGTTGATTAATAATTCTGCAAATATTATTTAGACATGTGGGTTTGACAACAATTTTTAGTGAAAAACAGAGAGAAATTAATGAAACGATTGCTATCGAATGAATTTATTGTTTTCTTATTGTAGAAATGTTCTAATACTGCAGGTGGCGCAGAAGCTGCAAAAGGAAGCGGAAGAGCGTGCACGAGAGGAATTGGAGCGTCAACTGCGAGAGCAAGAGAGGGCACGTCGTCCCTCTCGTTTCGAGGTGATACCTGCCCCAGATATTCTGAAAATGCAGCGTCAAAGTGTCAACGACCTGTCGACGATCCCAGGGAATCACCAGGAGCACCACACGTACCACACACCGATGTTCGGTTGTCAGCCGAAGAAGTCCATCCTGAAGAAGACCAATTCGTTCACGTTGAAGGGTTTCAGTCCACTGGTCAGTCCAGCTGTGACACCTTACACGACAGTTACGGGGGCCGAGAGCAGGATCAGACTGGCCTTCGAGGCGATCTTCAGGAAATCTGCTACTCTTCAGGATGTAGAGCCAGACCCTGAGGTGGGACCCACCGAGGGTGGAACAGCTGATGGTTCCACAGCTGGTGTCAATCAGCCGATGCTCCCCAGCCCTGCCACCTCCAAAAAGGTTCAACTCCCCAGGGAAAGGGTCATCGACATGTCTGCGGAGGACCAGAAGATCTGGGAGGAAAGCGAAATGGCCAGGGAAGTCGATTTCTCCAGGTGTCATATCGATCCAGCACCCTTTCAACTCGTTGAGCGGACATCTCTCCTCAAGGTTCACTATCTCGCTTATTTGCAATTTTACAATTTTCCAATATGTCGTTTGCAATTATATTATTCGAAGTTTCATTTCTGAATTTTCCAATTGACCTTGAGCCATCTCTTTTCGTTTGGAAGATATTGCAAAAACTATTTTCTCCTACCCATTATTATAATTACAATTATTATAATTATAATTATAAATAATTAATTGTAAATCAAAATTGTTGTTTTTAAGGTTCACAGTCTTTTCAGCATGGTGGGTGTGAATCACGCGTATGTGACAGCTATTGGACGACTGGTTGGTGTTGTGGCCCTTAAGGAACTCAGAAAAGCTATTGAAGATGCTAATGCTGGGGTCTTGCCTGCGCACGATAATATTCATCCGGTTATCTCGGTCACTAGTCTGGGGAAGCGCCAAGGACCAGAGGATGTCAACGACGAGAGAAATGGAGGGGATCTCCCGATAATTAATTCTGCCGATGACGAGGGGGAGTTCCACGGGGAAAAGGACGATGATGAGGGCAGAAGGGAAAAAGAGGGCAGTGTGTGAAACGGCAGCATCTCGACACATCTCAAAATTCAATAGAATTTTTTCAAATCTGAAAAAATTCTATTCGATTTTCATTTTATTTTTGATTGGAAAAAGAGATCTTTATGTATCAGATTTTTATATTGAGATTTTTTTTTATTAAAATTTATTGACGGATTTTTTGCAGTGCAAAAACCAAAGAATTTAGAAAATTCAGAGTCGAGAATTTTAATATAAAAAATTCAAAAGACTTTTCCCTATCAGAGAAAATTGAATTGAGTTTTCTGTTTTATTCGGATACAAGAGTGAGAATTCATTCAATTTTAGAATTGAATGACTTCGAAATGACAAGATGTTGATTATTCAGAATGTTCGGGTTTAGTGTTGATTGTTTACATTCAGATATTGTGATAGTCTCGTCGATCGATGAGGCCTGATTAGTAATCGTTAATTACGAAGAATCATTATTGGAAAAAATTTTGCAGAACAACGGATCAACAATGAAACAATCCGTTTGGAATGATTTGTATATATTTCATACACGAACTCAAATATCTCATGGTGGAGATTATTTGTGGCGTGGAAACTGTTGTACCAACGGTTTTTTATACCATCACGTTAAACAAATGGATTAGAAAATAGCGAACAAATAATTTATGTAGAAGTATATATCATTTTTTAAAAATGTTCAAGTACCTATTTTTGTAAAACAATTAATTTCCCACTTTCCAGGTAATTATTCATCCATTTCAATTCAATTTAACTAGGAATCGATGATCAATAGTTTAAATAATTTTAATCGTCGCTTTATAAACCGTGAATGTTGAATGGAAATATTTAAATAATAGGGAAATAATAAAAAAACACGCGCTAATAATTTGATTGTGCGATTGATTCGATTGGAAAAATCAGCAATTGCAAATCTCAGATACATGAATATTTTTAATTAATTGAAAACTTATAATCGATGAATTTTATGGACAGAATAGTCTCCTAGAAGACTGTTTCAACATTCCATCCAATTGGAAGTTAAAATATTGATATGAAAGTGGTCGACTGAAATAGTTTATGCTGAAGACACTCATCAATCTGTTGAATGATGGCTCGTTTGTAGAAATCGATATTTGTAAATATACAACGATAATTTATTATACAAAATGAGACTAGTTCTTCTTCCCGTACATTCAATTTTTGTTATTAATTTTATCTGGGAAAGTTTCGAAGGTCAACCATCCGTGCAGACACTTTGCAGCGGATCCTAGGGTGTGGAATGTCACTGCTCATCTATTCCATCGATTCCGTGTTTGGAATCAAGAGACAAATATTCCCTTCCTCTTCTGTACATGAGCGCGCAAAATTATTCCGCCATTTTCCGCCTGAAAGGAAAAAAAAATAGAGAGTGAATTTAAATAGAATTTTATAGCACTAGAGACGAACGCGCGCCACGCGCGTGTATTATTACTTTTGTGGTCCTACTACATGAGCTTCCATTTCATTTTTCAACTGTAGATATATAAGAATCGGAATTCAAACATATATATATATATCGAATAAACCGGCTTCAAAAAACGTTACATTGGATTTTTTTAAAAGGGAACACATTTTTTTGCACTCATCAGATTACAATTCGTATCAAATGAATAAATTAATTACTAATTTATAAAAATCATTACAGCAATTAGGTTATTATTGTCATCATTTGATTATCTAATCAATTAATTTCCATTAATTAGCGAGACTCTTCTGAGAATAATAGTATATTAGTATATTTCGTAACAAGTGCGGAAAAGTGATTTTTCGAGTATGGTGTTGATGAAAAATAATTATATGAAAATTACTAATAATTAAATATGAAAGATGATTAATATTTGTCGATCGGCGGTAAATGGTGGGTGCGAAGCGCAAGTTTTATCATTGACGTTTGTTGTACGGATATTGTTGGAATAAATTGGTGTTTCAACAGGAATTTACATGAAAAATACTCATCCGACCTGAATGAGAGTTTTATTATTGCAGAGTTTAGAAATTGAGCTTCGAAATGATATAGGATATTTAATTTATCTCATCTGTCAAATGATGACAATTTTCGCATAATCGTTAACACACGAAATAAGTGTGACCCGTCGTCATGACGCTTATAGATTCATAACGCAGAACAGGAAGACCAGAACCGGACGAACAAGATGTCATCCGAAAGCAAAAAGAATGAGCTTTAAAGTGATATATAATAGTTACAGTTGTTTCTCCATTAATTTGATAAAAATATGTGATATAAATATATATAAAATGCAAGGTAGAGAAAAATTAAAATTCATTGAATTTTCTCTTCGTCATGGACAGCTGTAATCAACAATAATTAGACAATAATTTTTCGTAGATCGTTGAAGCATCAAAACATAGGAAAACGATAATGCAAATGTCAACCTCAACTCGAGAGATCTACAAAATATAAAATACTTGAAACTGGATTAATGTGAAATGAAAAAAAGTTGTTTGGTTGGTGAAGTGAACGTGGGAATGTCCACACGTCACTCTTTGACCAGCGGGGAGATTAGCACTCGTAACCAGATTACGGAATCACATGACTTCCAGTCACATGTACTCTGTTGACGTGAAATGATAGCAATAATAATAATAAAGCACGTGACGAATCATGGGGCATTGATAAGGTTGATTTTTACGTTTTTTAGTCTCGTATTGCGTTCTCCTCTCTTCATTTTGCGGTAACATTTCTGGAATTTTAATGGCTGACCTCCAGTACTACTAGAATTTTTATCAACTGATGAAATCCTTGGAAACAAATCAAATATCGAATTTTTTTCTGCTTTTTTTTCCTTTTATTCGTTTTCTGCTTTCGATTTTGAAACCGTGAATTAATTGTTGTCGGAATTATCAATTTATCTCGAAAAGTATCGATTTGAGGTGGAAATACTATAAGATCTTTTTTTTAGTGCGTTGGCTTTGCGACGAAGAAGATCTTTTCGCATTTCTCTCTAAAGTTAATTGTTTTCGAGATAAACCAACTTTTATGAAAAATGAAAAATTCACTTCATTCCATTTGCATCTCCGTACAAAATTTTTTGAAAAAAACGCAATAAAATTCTCCCACTCAACTTTTATCCAATTATCATCAATTTTCAACGATTGTTTATTGTCATCTTTATTTTTCAACAACTATCATGAAGAATTCATCTACAACTTGTCAAAATAAAAAACTATAACAATTTTCCGTGATATCTTTCTCCAATTTTCTGTTTCACATTTTCCAATTAATTATTAAAAATACAAGAGTTGCCAATTCGAACTCAAGTGTAATTGCCATAAATCATGAAACCCAAGAAAGAACCTGTTAAATCGATAATAAAAACGTCGAGAATCGCGAGAAAAAATCTGCATAAATCATAAAACAAAACGTCACATGAAACAAAATATGAAAAAAAATCTCTAATTATCATTAAAATCCGAACAGGTTAATTCTCTCAATTCAATTCTCCTCGAACTCCATTCCACAAAGATAGTCAACGTGTGATGGAAATTCAGCGAGCGTCCAAATTAAATTAAATTGTTTGAAAAGCCAACGAGGGACACGTCAGTGACTATTGCCCCAATAAAACGCAAACTGTTGATTATCTAATTGATCAATGATCTCCCATTCACTACAATTAGTGTCATCCTGCAGACGACATGTCTGAAAAAGCCGTCAAAATTAATTAAAAAAAAACAACTCGATCTCTAACTTTCCTTCAACATTTATTTCACTTCAACAAAAGAAATCTAAAGAGAATAATTATACAATTCACTCCAAAGAATAAAACTCAACAAATTATTTAAACAATCAACCAATCAAATCGATAGATAATTAGTTAAGTAATTGATTAATTGAAAGTAATAATTTCCTTAATTAATACCTTAATAAAAAATTATTGTTTAATTAATGAATTTGTAAACGAAATTAATTTGAATTGATGTTTGCGGTAAATTAATGTTTTGATTGATTCTCATTATTTGTTGGCGATTTTAATGATTTGATTTAATTGGTTGATTAGAATATAGCAATATTAATGGAATAATTGAAAATTCAAGTTTAAAGGGAAAAATTGAAATTAATGAAGTCCCGAAAATGTTTTTTTTTTTATTTGTTGAACAGGTTTGACATCATCAGCTGTTGTTTATCTCGCGATGACATTTCTCCAGTCAGTCTTGAGAATCACGTGAAAAACATGTCGTAATCTTTACGGAGGAGGTGTTTCGATGATGTAACATTACCAGAGTAAATTGGCAATATTTACGAGGGAATAATCCAGGGGTGAGAATTCCTCGATCACTTATTTATTTTTGATTGCTAGAAAAAAATTGGTAATACCGATGTTGGAATATAGTCTTCTATGAATTGATTTTTATAAACTGATTAAGATTTATTAAAAATGAATCAACGTAGAGAAAGATATTAGGACTAAAACATAAACATAAACAATTAGGTCATGTGGTAAAGGACCTGGGGATCCTTTGTCTCGTGATGACCATTTTTCTTTTGGTCTCGACCACTTTTAGTCTGATGAAGCAGGTCATAGAGAACAGATATTTCTTCCTCGTGCCATTTTTAATAAATTATAATTAACGTATTTAATCCACTGCGTTTAAATTGTTTCTCTGCCCCCACCATATTCCATTAATCGAAAAACAATTTTCTTGTCACATTCTTAAAGAACGATTGAAATATCAGATTTCAAAAATCCATATTTATTTATTGCTTTATTTAAACAATTCTTACTTGAAATCGCGGTAAAATTCTCGGCAATTTAGAAATTCCGGAAAATTTCCCAAAAATTTTAATGATTGCTCACTGACTCTGTGATTCAGATCTCGATAAAATTTTCTTTTCAGTCACTCAATGATTCGCAGCTAGAAAAAGTTTTAACTGATTCTTTGATCCGCGAATAGAAATTATTTTTACTGACTACACGGAGAGAAATATTTAGGAAAAATTACGGAACTTTCAGTTCACTTACCGATTACGGAGTTGATTCGAAAAATTTAAATGACGGTATCGTTATTTTTGACCGATTATTCAGATAAAAATTACGGAAAACCGCGGAAAATTTCCGTGACCTTAGATAAAAATTACGTGACAGTTCCGTAAAATTTCCGACAATCACATTTCGCTCCAGAATTACGGAAAATACACGTAATTTTTATTGAATATTTCTCTCAGTTTATGAGTCCCGGTTCAAGGGCTTTTATGTTTATTTTTATTTTTTGACAGACGCTAGGTCGGGGATCAAAAAAAATTTTACAATTACTCAATGATTAATGCTGGTTAATGCTAACAGGCGGGACTCTCCCTGATGATAATTATTCTTATGAGTTCGAATGGGGAGGAACTATTTAACTCGTCGATTCGAGTGCGAGGAACGGGACCTGCATTTGCATTCCGTCTCCATTCGCAGACATGCCTTCATCAATTCGCGCTAATTATGAGACCTTCCCTACACAGTCGGAGTGAGTATGAGACAGGTGATTAATTAGTGTGAGATTTGACCCCTTGTGGCGATCAGTTGATCCCGAGTTTGTGATTATCCGTGATAAGGAGCGATTCAACAGATCTATCCAGTGAAAAAACTATTTAGTGAAAATTTTTCTTGATTATAATATAATTTTCTTTTAAGAAACTCGGAAAATTTTGTTTTTCCATCAAAATTCATGTTGAGTGTTTGAGTGCGTTTTTGAAATTTTCGAGAAATTTAATTTAAAAATAGTGGAGCGAGAGTGACATCGATTTTTTTTTGGGAAGTAATCGGAAAATTTTAAGAGAAATTCGAATTTGGGAAATTCAAAGAATTTTGAAATGATTGAGTTTTTTGTTAATGAAGAAATCTTTAATGAAGTATTAGGGAATTTTGAATTTTAGAAAAATTTCGAATTTTCGAAGATTCCGGTGGTTTTCGAGATTTTGAGCATCCGGAAAACAAATATTTTTGAATTTATTCGAGTGTGCAATGAAAAAGTGCAATTTTCAATCATTTTGAATTAATGAATTACCATTAATAGTTAAACTAAAATTTGCAGTTTTCTTTTTATTAAATTATTCATTTTTAATCCCGAAGTTCCGTGAATTGTTAATGAAACCGTGATACGATAAAATCTTCCAGGAAGTGTACATGATATTTTATATTTTATATTTTTATTTTTATATTTTTTATTTTATCAAAGGTCTACACAAAAAAAACGGAGCCCGCCCCAAAAATCGAAAATTAGTCAACCGCTTTTCCCATTTTCCCTCCGAATTTCCCTATAACATTATGAAAATAATACTCATGGGATTCATCCATACAAATTTGTTAAGAACAATTGAATAATCAACAAATTGAAAAATAAATATTCCTCCAAAAAAATCTCTGGTGAAAAATAAAAAAAAAGGAATCGCTCGGAAAATCGCAAACGATTCTGTATTTTCCCATTTTCCTCCTTATATCATTACATTATATATTATTCACACATATACATGCCGATTTATTAAAAACAATTGGCAATTGGAATTATTATTGGAATTATATAGAGAAATAGAAAATCCGAAAGAAAATCGAAATCGCCCGGAAAATCAAAACCAATTCAAATATATTTTCCATTTTTCCCATTATATCATTACATTATATACTTACGACATTTATACATACCAATTTGTTAATTGTAATTGAATTATCCAATAACAAATATTCTATTTAAAAAATCGAAACCGATTTAACCGCATTTTCCCCGTTATATCATGGCATTATATACTATATATATATATGTTATATACTATATACATATATAGATATAGGAATGCCGATTTATTAAAAACAATTGAATTGAGGAACAAATAAACACGCGATTGAAAAATATCCAAAAAATCGAAAATAAAATTGGAATCGGCATGAAAATTAAAACCGATTTTGCGATTTTTCCGTTATTGGGACGGATTGATGGATTTTCCGAGGTCGTTGATGCACTTTCATATCACGAGAATAGAACGTGACAATTCGCACACCTGTACCTCGTGAACCGACGCAAAAAGACAAGTAGATGTAAACGTGTTGTTTAGACTCGATAGCTTACCGATAAAATTAGCATTTTCTATTGTAGAGTCTCTTAGATTGAAGAGTTCAGACTTATCTATTGATTTATGATTTTTCTGTCACTGGAAAGCTCGAGGAAGCCTTGAAATCCAGGGGAGAATTGGATTGTTCTGAGGTCCAACTTGTTTAACCGATTTATTGTCCTCTCCTGACCCTTGGGAATCTTCACATTGTCCAGCTGTTTCGTATCGTATTTCTCTCATCATTGATACGCTTGTCTCATCCTCGTGAGCACACATCGGCTCAACGACAATAACAGATAAGAATTATTCCCTCTTTGTCTCTCCAGTATGAATTTTTTTATTTCTTCTGACTTTCGAGATGGAGCTGATCATTTTATCACCGATCGCGAGTTTATTGTAGTGATAGACAGGAATTCACTCCAAAGAACCACTCGGTCTATCAGGATTTTCAACTAATTTCTACCAGAATAATATATAATAATTATTGGATATAATTGAACTAGAAAATGTTTAATTAGATTTTTTTTCCTCATTTTTAACAATTTTTCCCAGATTTTTTAATAGAAAAACAATTAAATGGATATAAAAGGATATGAAAAGTGTTTAATTATTATTTATTTTGTAATTTTTAACAATTCTTCCCCTTTTTTCTCGTCGAAATAAATTTATGCCGTTGGAATTAAAATCGGAATTGAAGAGTTTTAGAAAGATAATTAAACGATTGAGTTATAATTTGTTAATAATTCGATATATTCCGGTGGGAATTAGTGCAAAAATTCAATTAATCGAATCGAAAATCGAGAAAAAACCGGAATTTAGGGAAATAACGGGAAGATGTTAAAAGACTTGACAATATTTGATTGTCAATCACTCACAATCAACAGAAGGAAAGTCAACAATTTGTTTATGATCTTCTCTTCTAAAAATACAATTCGACTCATCAAACTGAAAAATAAAACGGGAAACGAATTTCAAATTAAACATTTCTTTTCAATTCAAAAATTTTCATCTCTAAGGATTTAATTGAAAAATTTTACATTAATTGAGTTACAATTTATTATTGAAAATTGCCACACGAATTAACAATTATCCAATTATTATTGTTATTATTATTATTATTTTACGTACAGTCTATCACAAATTCAATTAATCAATTATTCAATTAGTCAATCAAATTATTTTGAAATAATTGCTGAAAAATATTTGAAATTTCCATTATTTAAATGTCTATACCCATTTTTTTAAAAACCATAAACAAAAACCGAAATTAATTATTTATTTCAATTCAATAATTTCCATTCGCAATAATCAATAATTCACCATTGTCAAGCTACTTAACAATTGCTTAATTATTGATAATACTATTATTATTATTATTATTATTTTCATACTTTCGTTTCAGTTCTAAAAAAATGGACTAATCGAATAAACAATCGGAATGAAAAAAAAAATAGCGATTGCTGTCAAAGCGATAAAGTTTTGTTGAAACCTCAAAAATTAGTGTGTAATTATCTAATTAGAAGTATCATTATTTGCCAATGAGATATCGGCTGCCCCCACCTCATTACTTAGTGCTGATGTGCTAGATGTCCAAGGGTGAAAGCATATCAAAATATCACATGACAACCCCTCCATTCCTCTCTGGTAATCAACGAATAGGAAAACCCGAGTGAGAGGGCGAGAAAACCCATTCGTATCGCTTTAGACACTCTGACGACCTGAAAAAAAAAAAAAAACCTCGCGTTTATAAAGAGCTTTGACGGTTAGTCTTGCTCGAGACGCGAGTGCATCCTCGATGTGTCACTCTCATTTTGCCAATAAATTTTACTCCAAACAAAAGCTTTTATCCGATCAGCAAGATTATTTAAAATTACCCCCCAAATGAATCGAGGCCGACGAAAAAATCCACCCGGCAATCCATTTCTCCATAAATATTGTCAATAAATTTTTTTACCAGTAATTCAGTGATTACGATAATTGTGATATTAAATCGTCAAGTATTTAGTGAAATTGACAATGTCTGAGTGAGTACAGAAATAATTAATTAATTGTTGATTATTGCGAAAAATTATCGGATATTATTACCGTGGAAATGTCGAAAAATTCAGTTTTTGGGGGGAATTTTTTGAGTTTTTGGGATAAATATTCTCTGATTATTTCGGTTTCGCTCGAGTTATGTTCGGGATTTATCAATTTTTTACTACAAGTGTTCAACTTCGCATATTTACCTTCGAGATAACGTCACTCATTAACTATTTATCAGAAGTTATGCAATGAAGTGTCCATTGATGGATAATCGGCTCGAGAGAATTATGATCGCCATTTGATCTTCATATTTTCCATGTACACTGAATAGTAGTTAATAACAATTTAAAAACTGAAGGACACGTGTGAATACCGAAGAATTCCATAACTATTTTAAAAAAATTATTTTTCTTCCATTTTTCCGTAATTTGTTAATGAAATACCCTCAACAGGTTCACCAGAGATAAGAATATATGTTCGGTTGATATTATTAATTTAAAAGAAATATTTATTAAGGATTTATTTAAAAAATTGTGTTTTTCATTCGAATCATTTCCAGACGATTCTCGTGAAGTTTTAATTATCATAATTTGATTGCTGTACAGAATGATTACATTGCACACGGCCTTGAGTAAATTACTCAAATGCTTATCCGTTTTTTCACGATTTCGTATTTGCTTCATGCAACAATCTAAATTAATATTAACAATTAGAACTTGAACGACAATTGCACCAAAAAACTAATTCATTAATAAACATCGATTTATCCATAAAACTATTGGCTTGATGAAAAAATATGAAAAAACCTTTCCTGTCCGGAAATGATTTATCTACAAAAAAGCTCTGATGACATTTCCTCATTAACTCGATAGTTCTCGAAATAAATCGGTAATTATTCCGGAAGAGTGTGAAATTCGAATCGTAAAGGTTTATAGTTTCGCTGGTGATATTATTCGAAATTGTTACTAAAAAAATAATGTTTTTTTTAGCTCTGAGGCGATAATAAAGTCTCGAAAGTGTCAACATTGCTGGAGGATAAATAATTGATTGTTTGTTATTGATGTTAGTATTTTTAACGAATCGTAGGCGGCAGTGGGGATGAGCACGTGCCATAAAACGATTGCTCTGGTGTTATATGTGTCCTTGCTATCGTGGAAACCCACAGCCGCTCTACAAATGTATTAAAATAACATCCAACTGACGAATTGACCAAATGGAATAAAGAAGAGCGAATGATAAAATAACAGCTATTCTCTTTCGCACATAAATGACTCGAGGATGATGACTCATTTTTGTGGGTGATGGAGTTGAGGAAGGCTTTTGTCATTTAGAATCAATAGACATAAACATTTAAAAGTTTATCGCAGCTTTTTATAAGTTCTTCTTGTTAATCCCAATAAAATTCAACACCACTCCGCTTAATCCGTTATTACGTCATTTTTTTATTCATTAGTCGTCGATTTTCATTAATTTTTTCTTATTTTTATTTTTTTTAATTTTTCTTTAGAATGTTCAACAGAAAATAGAGAATTTGGTATGGAATTTCTTGGGTTTCTTGTAATTTAAGTAATTCTCGAGATTTTAAATAACAAAATTCTGTCTGAGAAAAAGCGAAAGTTTTAGTTCGTAAAAATTTGATGTTATTCATTTTCATAAATCGGATTTCATTTTAAATCTTTTTTTATATTCTTCCTTGAAGAATGGAAGAAAAAATAGAGAAGTTGAATTTATTGGGTTCCTAATATAAAAATAATAATAATAAAAATAAACCAAAAACTGGAAATCCCTCTTGGAAATTGAATTGACATTAATTGCTGAATTAACGGATAATTAATGGATCTTGAAGGAATGGTTGATATTAGTCGCTCAAAATGTCATTTAACAACCGGAGAAAATATGACATTTAAAAAATATGTACGCTTTATCTTAATCGGTAATTGATTTCCATGGCTACCCATTCCGATTCTTATCACCTCGACCTCGACTCAGATGTCAAAACTCGAAATGTCTATTTCGACGCAAAAAAAAGGAGCTAAATCGAGTGTAATTGAGTGATCAACAGAAATTCCCGTCTATTTTTCACCCGATTAAAATGATGAACATCGAGACATTCTAATCGACATTCAGAGTAAAAAAGTGCAGCGATAATAAAAAAAAAACGATTCATCTAACCGTAGAGGAATAATAATTGAAACCTGCAGAGAGAATAATCTCGAAGTGACTGTCAATGCTTGTCTCTAATTGTTTTTTTGTTTTGACGTTTGAAGGAAAAATGGAGAGAATCGAAGTTCAGAGGAGAGAGCCACCCTGATGGACCACAAATTACTGCCAAAGATTCAGCCGAGTATAAATACTCCTTTGGATGCTGAGAATGGAAAAAATCATCAACAACAATTTGGCAGTTCATTGCGACAAGTGTCTGCTGCTTTTGTTGCACAATTGGGAACTGTCAATACAGGAATGACATTCGGATTTTCAGCGATAGCACTTCCACAGCTGAATGCAACAGCCGAAGCTATCGTCGATAGTTCTGTTGTGCTGAACGATACCCAGGGCAATTATTTCAATTGCAGTATTATCAACGAGACTTTGTACAATTGCAGCACGTACTCCAGTTCAATTAGAATTGATGAGTCACAGGGGTCTTGGATCGGTAAGTATCGGTTTAATAACTTGAGATCGGTGGAATGAACTTGACAGATTTACCT